TTTTTTTTTTTAAATATATATATATATAGCTACCAAACATAAGAAATTAAGATTCTCAAGAATGTAAAAATATTTTGCATACCAAACGCCTCCTTAGTATCCCTTGAATAATCATTTATAAAAGTTATAAAGTAATTTTTACCACCTCTAGACATGTTTTGTTTTAAATCACCAAGATCATAATGAATTAAACTAAGCAATTCAGAATCATGTTGAACAGGAGGACAAGGTGTCTTAGTTAACTTTGATTCAACACATGTCACATTTTTTTGAATATTTTTTATCATGCAAATTAATTAAGCCCAAACTGTGCAATTTAATAATATAAAGAGAATTTGTATGTCCTAATCTAGCATCTTACATGTCATACAAATCAATCATATATGTAGAAGTAGATTCATTCATAGTTTTTGAAAGGTTCAATACAAATAGGCACAAATCACAATATCCCTTTCCCACAAACACATTATTCTTAATCATAACAATTTAGTTAGACTAAAAAGAAACTTCAACCCCAACCTTACTTAACAATGCTATAGAAATTAGATTAACTCTAATAGTGAGCACATGCAACACATCACTTATAATCAATGTTTCCTTAGATGTGAGCTTTAGAAGTACCTTTCCTTTCCCAAGCACTAGAGTGGTACTAGAGTCACCAAGGTACACATGTTCTTCTCCATTTTCCAAGAAGTGTAGGAGTTAAACGCATTTTTGTTAGCAAAGATATGTCTGGCAACTCCAAAATCAACTATCTACTTGCTCACATTGATCACAACATTAACTTGAGAAACAACTGCAATAATAATATCATCCTCTTCAACTAGGTTATCCTTAGGCTTAGGAGGATTGTTGTTTCTCATCATTTTATATTTGCATTGAGATGCATAATGTCCTAGCTTTCAACAAACATAACAATTTCCTTTTTTCTTAAAAGAGGGATTAGATACAATATTTTATGGGACATTATTATGAAATTTTGTTTTTCTATTGTGATCAGATTTGTTATCATGCCTATTTTGAGTTGGTTTATCTTCCACCATATTTGTTTTTGTAGATAGTGTCTTCAATCTTGCAACAACACATTCCTTCCTATTAGTATCTCCTATGATGATATGAGTGATCAGGTCCAATAGTGACATTTACTTGTGTTTGTGCTTTAGTTGTCGTTTATAGTTCGCCCAAGATTCAAGCAACTTTTTAATCAATAGTTCATATACAAACTCATCAGGCAATGTAATATTTTTAGCCTTTAAATCATTGAATAGTTTATGGTACTCGTTGATTTGAACTTTGATGTCTTTGTATTCAATCATTGTCCAAAGGTGGTAGTTTCCAATAATGAACTGTTGCCTTACCATGTCCTCGACAATATATTTGAGGATGAGAGATTCCCAAATATCATTGCTTTCGTTGTAGGAACAATACACATTGAACAAATCATTAGACAATGCACTTAGTAAAATGCAACAACATACCTTATTAGCTTGATTCTAATCTTCAATCTGTTTGGTTGTTGTCTCAGAATCTAGTTTTGAAGCGATAAGGGCAAACACAACTCCATACATGTCGAGTAATGTATGAACACATTCCTACCAACAATGGAAGTTCTTACCAACATATGTCAGAGTAGCATGAGTAGGTGTTGTGCATGGGTCGAGAATCATGTTGTCAACCATGATAAGTCCTTTAGATTGTAGTAAAAATAGTTGACAAATAAATTTCTTGAAGTGTGCTGAGCACTGTCCTAAATGACTAATCCGTAATATTTATGTAAGTCTCTCAAGATACAATTGAAACATCTCATAATAGAATTGAGGCCACAAAATTAGCAAGAAGAAAATTTAGAATATAGAATAGGAAAAAAAAAATCAAAGTTCCTATTTTACTATGCTTCAGCTATAATTTTTAACGTAATATTAATAGTGATATTAATTTACATCACTTTGTCAATGCATATAGCTTAAGCTTACATTACTGTTTTATTGTAAAATGTGTGCTCATTGTTTATGATAAAATCTTGCTTGTAGAGAATCAAAGTTCCTATTTTAGCTTTGATTTGGTTCCGGTTCACTTGCATTTGTGAATAGTCAAAAATTAGTCTCATAAATTTTGGTATAACTTTCGAATCTTCGGTCTGAAGTTTTCTTTATATGCATAACCAACTTTTACAAATAATATTTTTTTGAACTTGTTTCTAAAGTATAGTGAAGGCATATTTTTTTACTGAACTTAATAACGTTTCTTTCACTACAAATTATGATAGAATCGTGTACCAATTTAAAACGGCAAATAGCTTCAATTCAAGCTCAGTTATTGCAAACCAATTCACTACAGTTCCTTTCATCATCAAAGTCACCCTTTTTTTTCTCTCTTGGTGAAAATCATTCAAGTCAATTTGGTGACACTTGACAGAGATGCAAAGGCAGTAAAATAACAACGCAGTAAGTTGAAGCCATAACATGTGTATCGTACCAATATATTTTTAAGCATTGGCTCCTTCTAGTGTAGCTAGTTAAATAAGATTTTGTTGTTATTATTAGTTCATTCTGGTGTACAAGCATTGGAATCACTTTCATGAATGGATACAATGCTGACACACTTATAATTTATATGCATCATTATTTCACAGGTCTTTACAAAATATGCAAGTTTGATTACGAAAAGGAATATGAAATTCTACAATGAACCTAAATAATCTAAAAATACAAAGAAGTTTGAGCCTGAATATTATTATTTTAAAATCATCAGAATACAACACAAACTAACATGATATCGGTGGCAAGACACACAGTGAAGTTACTTCTGAACCACAGCAAATAACAAGAGGCTTGCCAGACTATACGGATAAGAACTCAAACAAACTGTCATTTAGGTATTTCGATGTTCTCATAAACCTATGAATACAAAGTATGGACTTAAAATTGATTAAATGTGAAATGCTACAACAATCAGCATTTCTTACTTTTCCCATAAATGATGGGTACTCATGAGAAAAGCTATTTACACAATCAGTCCCAGCACAACTGCTAAATGTGTCTGCGTCAGAGTTTTGGGAAACTAAGGGAAAAAAAATGTAAGAGCCTACGGTAGAAATCATTACTCATATGCAGTCATATTAACAGTTATGCAATAGTGTAAGTATCATCACAGGATGTCATATAGAACCAGAGACAACTGCCAGAAGAAAATCTGACAGCAAAAAAGGAGTTATGGACACAACAATCAAACATCTTACTCTATAACAACAAAATAGAACCATTCAGAATCGAATATTGGATGCTGAACTACTTCAGTCTGAAAAACTGAGCATATGACGGTTCATATGAACTTGGAAGAGGTCCAACACACCAGCAAGCACTCCTCAGACTGGTATCTAACTCTGTCCAAAAAAGAAAAATTGTTTTCACACATTACTAGATATGAAAGTGAAGTAATCAGCTATAATTGAATCTATATATTCTAATCATAAATGATGAGCATGCATATCAAGGTAAATAAGTTTAAGCTACACCACATTGCCAAAGGTAGCAAAACGCATTGTAATCAGTATTACTGTCCACCATTTATAGATAAAAAAATATTAATTAAAACATGATACAAATCCCCCACCCCCTCTTATAATTAATTGACCTAAAAGGTGGCTTGCATTTCCAAATCCCAAAAGGTTAAATTAAACAGAAAACTCACAGCTGTGCTAAATGTTAATGAAGATATAAGCACTCAATAACAGAGATCACCAGAATGCCGCTAAAAAAGAGAAGAATCCAATGATCTCAATTAATGGAAGATAAGAAACCCTACCATTTAAAAAAAAAAAAAAATTTAACCATTATCATAAATCAAAGAACAGATCAATAGTGGACACTTTTATAAATTAGAATTAGTCAATTAGATAATCAGAACTGTCAACTGATGATCCATGAGTCAAGAATGCAAATAACTGCACTATTTACAAACATTGCACATGGATGCAAACTGCAAACTTTGAATTTGTAGAAGGTTATGATGGCTATAATCATTAAAGAAATAAAACACATCGTTAAAATGTTTTCCAGGAATGAGATTTCAATATAATCAACAATTAAACCTATATTGACCACCCTAACAGACTCCCATAAACTAACTTTTACGTAAAGGTTAGGAAGTTAAATTTAACATTAAAAAAATCTCAATTCATCTTGTTTTTCTCTTCAAGTCTTGAAAAGAAATTTATCGGAACATAACCTATAAACGGAAATAAAATATATAAGCACTTGTGAAAGAGGAAAATTGAGATAAATAAATTAATTTCAGCCTATATACCAAACTCAATTCATTTTCTTTTTATCGGTAAGCAAAATACAATAATGATAATAAAGATCAACTTAAGTCAATTAAAAAAAGAAAAGATAAAATTTATCCATTTTCTGACAAAACTTAAAAAGAAAGAAAATAAATTAAAAAGGTAAAACAATCTTATAACTTGTTTCTTTCTTGCAAGTTAGGAATCAAATATAAGTTAGAATACATAAAACGCACCGTTGAATCAAACAAACCACCAAGAAAACAAGAAACTAAAATTTAGAGTAAAAAAAAAAGGACTCAGGAGTGTACATTATCTCCAAGCACAAATGAGAATACTTCCCGAACTGGAGAGTACTGAACAAGCGCAATATCCACAGCGTAACCGGAAACCGGCAACTTGAGTTCTCTCAAGAGAGTGAAAGCCTCAGATAACCTCTGCTTGGGGACGTGGCGCGCCACGGGGCAATTCGGAATCCAAGAATCCAAGGCATAGTCATCACCGATTTCGACGCCTTCTTTTCTGATAGCGTCACAGAGCTGTGACTGAAGGTGGAGGAGGGCGAGGGTGGGAGTGGGGGCGAGGAAGAAGAGGTTGTCGGCGTCGTTGGGGAAGGTGGCGAGGGATGAGAAGGAGAGAGGGAGAGGGTCGTGCTTGGAGGCGAAGGCTCTGAGGAGAGGTTCCAATTTGGAAGGTTCTAGAAAGGGGGTGGAGAATAGGGTTATGTGAGGCCGTGACTCCATTTCGATTAGGTGTGTGCTGATTTGTCTCCGCGCGAGAACATTCCACGCTTTCAGAACCTGATTCTCAAGCGCTGGGTCTAGGTATAGTTCGATTGCGAATCCTTGCGACATTGCCAGATCTGCTTCAGGATTGGAACAAAACAAGAGAATGAAAAGTTGAAGAAGAGAGTGTCTGTGTGGTGGTTTGGTGGACAATTTATTAGTCCCACTGCTTCGAAGGTTTGCTCAAAATTTTGGGCTTTCTAAATGTTGGAAGATTAAAATTATAGAATTAAGAATTAGTTGATTAAAATTACATATTACTTATGTAATATTAGAAGAATAATAATGATTTCAATTTTACCAAATTATTTATGTTATTCCTTCTTAATATCTTTTACTTAATATATTTTGATGTCTTCTTTACTATTGGAAGTAAATATATGTATTTAATTGACACATTATTTAATACGTCATTAAATATCATTTATTTATTAATATTTTAATTAAGTTTTTATGATTTATTAATATTTCTTTTAATTTTTACCTTTATATTTTATTTAAAGTTTTTTCTCCTCTTTTTCAATCTAAGTAACTTTTTTTCACAGAAGAATTTTTAAAATATATGAAATTGAAATGATTTTTAAAATTAAATTTTTTTGATTAAGATATTAATCAAAATTTAATATCTTAATCAAAATTTAATTTTAAAAATAATTTCAATTTCATATATTTTAAATATATATATATATTAATAATTAGATTTGGTGTCATATATAAATATGTTTAAATATTTTTATTTTCTAGTATTCTTTTTTTTTTTAACTTTTTAATTATCTTTATTATTATAATAAAAATTTATTAATATATATATATATATATATGTCTGTGTGATTTTTTTATTATGTTTATTTTATAATATTATACTATTTAAGATTATTAATATATTATTATCATTGTAATAATCTTTATTTCTTAAAATTATAGTATCAGTCAACTACTAGTTTATTTATTTTTAACTAATAATATTAAGGTGGAGGAGGGCGAGGGTGGGAGTGGGGGCGAGGAAGAAGAGGTTGTCGGCGTCGTTGGGGAAGGTGGCGAGGGATGAGAAGGAGAGAGGGAGAGGGTCGTGCTTGGAGGCGAAGGCTCTGAGGAGAGGTTCCAATTTGGAAGGTTCTAGAAAGGGGGTGGAGAATAGGGTTATGTGAGGCCGTGACTCCATTTCGATTAGGTGTGTGCTGATTTGTCTCCGCGCGAGAACATTCCACGCTTTCAGAACCTGATTCTCAAGCGCTGGGTCTAGGTATAGTTCGATTGCGAATCCTTGCGACATTGCCAGATCTGCTTCAGGATTGGAACAAAACAAGAGAATGAAAAGTTGAAGAAGAGAGTGTCTGTGTGGTGGTTTGGTGGACAATTTATTAGTCCCACTGCTTCGAAGGTTTGCTCAAAATTTTGGGCTTTCTAAATGTTGGAAGATTAAAATTATAGAATTAAGAATTAGTTGATTAAAATTACATATTACTTATGTAATATTAGAAGAATAATAATGATTTCAATTTTACCAAATTATTTATGTTATTCCTTCTTAATATCTTTTACTTAATATATTTTGATGTCTTCTTTACTATTGGAAGTAAATATATGTATTTAATTGACACATTATTTAATACGTCATTAAATATCATTTATTTATTAATATTTTAATTAAGTTTTTATGATTTATTAATATTTCTTTTAATTTTTACCTTTATATTTTATTTAAAGTTTTTTCTCCTCTTTTTCAATCTAAGTAACTTTTTTTCACAGAAGAATTTTTAAAATATATGAAATTGAAATGATTTTTAAAATTAAATTTTTTTGATTAAGATATTAATCAAAATTTAATATCTTAATCAAAATTTAATTTTAAAAATAATTTCAATTTCATATATTTTAAATATATATATATATTAATAATTAGATTTGGTGTCATATATAAATATGTTTAAATATTTTTATTTTCTAGTATTCTTTTTTTTTTTAACTTTTTAATTATCTTTATTATTATAATAAAAATTTATTAATATATATATATATATATATGTCTGTGTGATTTTTTTATTATGTTTATTTTATAATATTATACTATTTAAGATTATTAATATATTATTATCATTGTAATAATCTTTATTTCTTAAAATTATAGTATCAGTCAACTACTAGTTTATTTATTTTTAACTAATAATATTTATATTTAATATTAATATTATTTGTTTACTTTAAATTAAGTTTAAAATTATAATATATTATTATTTTCTAAAAAAACATTAATCAACATTTTATTATCATTTCAAATATATTCACGTTATTTTAAATATTTATTATAATATTAATTTAATATTTTTAAGAAATATTAACAATTTTTTATCATCGATAATTTGAGTTTTAAAATTAAAATAATGATTTTTTGTGTAAAAATAAATTATTTTAATTTAAATTAAAAATTAATTTATTGAAATTTGATTTTCACATTTTATAAATTTAACGTATTTTAATTTAAATAATTTAATGTATATCTTATCAATTTAAAACATGTTAATAAACTTGATATCTAGATTTAAATAATTTTCTTTATATTTTACTTATCAATTTAAAGCATCTAACATATTTCAGTAATATTTTAAAATTTTATTTTATAATACTATTTTATTATTGTAGAAATAAATTATTATAATGTGTGAAGTTTTTAATTTTTAATTTTACTTTACAATGTATTTTTTCTATTATTTTAGGTGTTTTAAGAAAAATATTTATTTCTTAATTACAGTAAAACAATATTATAACTAATATTTAAGTTATGATAAAAATTATTAAAACAATAATAAAATAATGACTAATATTTATAAAAACATAATTTTATAAATTATAATTTTCAACCAAATAAAAAGTATTAATAATTTATAAAGAATAAAGAAATAATATTATACCAATTCTATAATTTCTGTTGAAATTAAAATCAGTATCCATACTCATATAGGAAAAAGCTTGATAGGACTAGGACTAGGAGTATGGCTACTCCTAATTGGAGTCTTCTTTTTCCTCATGCTATTGTTGAGATTCTCCCAAGCAACAACTCTGATCATATAACCCTCTTCTTATTAGTTGTTACAAGCTTAAATCTAAGAAGATTTATTCCTTTCATTTTCAAGCTGCCTTACTATCTCACCCAGAATATTCTAATGTGGTGGGTATACTTCTTGGTCAACTGCAAATGGAAATGTAATCTAGAAATTTGGTCTTTTGACAGAAGCTTCCAAACAATTCAATGTTGATGTGTTTGGTAACATTTTAAAATGAAATCGAAGATTGGAGACTCGTATTAAGGGTGTTTATTTACAATTAGATGCCCATCCTCTAATCTGGTTATTCTTGAGAAGGAGCTGCATAGAGAATATGATCGTATTCTTTGGTAAGAGATGTTGTGGTATCAAAAGTCAAGAGAAAGATGGGTGAAATTTGGCAATAGAAACACTAAGTTTTTTCACACTCAAACTATCATCAGGAGGCGGAGAAACATAATTACGGGGCTTATGATTGATGGAACTTGGTGCTCGAATGATGAGGTCTTGGAAAGAGAAGCCAATAAGTTCTTCAAGGACCTTTTCCAGAATAGAGCTCCTTGTGATCCTTGTAGTCTTCTTTTGGATTGTATCCCTTCTATTAGTCCTCAGTTATATGAATCTCTTGTGCATCCTGTGTCTATTGATGAGGTTAAAAATGCTATGCTTTCTATGGGACCTTGTAAAGCCCCTAGGCCAGAGGGCTTTCAGCCCATTTTTTATCACTCCTTATGGGAATTGGTTGGTCATGATGTGTGGGAATTAGTGGCTTAATCCTTTGCAACATGAAACATTCTTCCCTCCTTAGTAGAGACAATTCTGGTTCCTATCCCTGAAGTAGATAGCCCGACTAGCTTGCGAGATTTCAGACCATTAGTTTGTGCAATGTGTTAATTAAAACTATTTCAAAGGTTTTGGTTCAGCGTATACGACCTCATCTCAACTCTCTCATTGAGCCATTGCAGAGTAGCTTCATTGCAAGAAGAGGAACAAGTGATAATGCTCCTATTGCACAAGATTTTGTTCACTTCATGCATAAAAAACAAGGTAAGGGTGGCCATTTTCCTTTTAAAATTGATTTTGAAAAAACATACGATAGGGTGGATTGGAACTTTCTTCGGTTAACTATTCATAAATTTGGGTTCCTTTCCTACTATTGTAAAGTTTATTATTAGTTGTAAATCTTCGACTTCAATTGCTTTAAGGTGGAATAATGAGGTTTTGGAAAGTTTCTTACCTCATAGGGGACTCCACCAAGGAGATTCTATGTCCCCTTATCTTTTTGTTTTATATAAGGAGAAATTGGCTATTCTTATCCAACAAAAAGTACAAGCTAAGTTATGGCAGCCAATTAAAATCTCTAAAAATGCCCCCCTAATTTCATCTATTTTTTTGCGGTGGATTGTCTCTTGTTTACTAGTACTAAAGCTTCCCAAGTGAGACTTATTCAAAATGTGCTTGATTCCTTCTATAAAGTGTCAGGACTAAAAGTTAGCATACACAAATCTGGGTTTTTGGCTTCAAGGAATGTGCCTTAAAGGAAGATCTCTAAATTTAAGAATATCTTGGGTTTTGAACATACCAAGAAAATAAATAGGTTTTTGGGGTTCCCTTTGCTCACCAGAAAGGTTAAAAAGTCAGACTTGTCTTTTGTTGTTGATAAGATTCAAAGCAAGCTGGCTAGACGGAAATCAAGGCTTCTTGGAAGGGCTGGTCGTGTAACACTTGCTAAAGTTGTTCTTGCTTCAGTTCCAATTTATGTAATGCAGAACTTGTGGTTTCCCCAATGAGTGTGTGTGTGACTCTCTTTATGCAATCATTAGGAAATTCATTTGGGGAAGTTCAAGGTGCCACCGGATAAAGTGGAACACTATTACTTTGCCAAGATCTAAAGGAGCGTTGGGCATTTGCAACTCTCGAGATGCTAACACTTCTTTGTTAGGGAAGCATATTTGGAGCTTGATCAATGAACCACATAAATTATGGGTCCAACTTCTTGTTGTTAAGTATCTTAAAGGCAGTTCGATTTTGTGGTAGCAAAAGTATACAGGCTCTTCATATACCTGGTATTCAATTAACCGAGCTACTGAAAATCTTCATAAAAGCTTTTGGTTTTGGCAGGAGACATTTCCATTTGGCATGATAAATTTCTTGCGGATGATCCTTTTTCTCAACAAGTAGACTTCGTGAATATTCAAGATATTCAATTCCAAGTGTGTGATATCTGGCGGCATGGTGCTTGGCAATTTCAGAATTTAGCTACATTACTTCCCGATTGGATCAAACAAAAAATTAATCGTATGGTCTTGGATGACTCTTGCCAAGATTGTATTATTTTGGGCCATGCTCCGACGGGTTATTTACTGCTACAGCCTCTACCGTTGGTTCACCAATGCTCGCCTTTCTGGTGACACCTCAGCAAGGATTGGATCCTAGGTTTGGTCTCTATCTCTTTCCAAATACTTTAAATTTTTTTATGGATAACAAACCATATTATTTACCCACTAGCCTCGTTTTGTATTAAAGACATATTGCTACCAATGCTTCTTATCCTAGGTGCAATTTTCATCAACAGTCAATTATACACTTACTCAAGGACTGTCCGAAAGCCACTTCTATTTGCAATATGTTGGTATGATGTTTCACATGGATATGTAGTCACTATGGATTTCATAGCTTGGTTGCATCAACATGTAGAGGCTTCTAAAAGAGTTCTTTTTGTAGTAAGTTGTTGGTGGTTATAGAGGTCAAGGAATCATGTAGTTTTTAATGAATTTGAGTGGATTGTTTGCTATATTGTTCTATCCATTCAAAATATGCATTTTGTCATCATACATTCTTTGGTCAAACCAATTGTGAGATGCATAGAAATTTTATTTCATTCACTACTAGATTTTAATTTTTTAGCAACATTTTTTTTCTTATATTTATTAAAATGTTATTATATATATATATATATATATATATATTAAATAAATAGGTTATTTTATAACATTTTTTTGAAAAATGTCATTATAAATAGAGTAACATTTTTTTATTTCAATATTATTCTTTCCAATTGTTTTCAAAATCAAAGTTCGATATCGAGTAAAAAAATGTCACATAAATTATTTTGTAACATTTTTTTTTGAAAAATGTTATTATAATTGTTTCTAAAATCAAAGTCTCACATCGAGTAAAACAATATATTTCTCTCATCTCTAATTGTTAGTCATAATTAAAGTCTCACATCAAATAAATGAATGACTCATAAAGAGTATATATAATCATATAGTTATACTTAGAATAAATAAACTTTGATATTTTATATATAATAAATGATGACTAACTAAGAATGTCTTCTTCTAAAA